GAAAAGAGGAGGATTTCTCTGAGCAGCAGCTCTGGAAACAGGAGAGGAATTCCAGTTTGGACCAAGAGGAACCAGAACCTCTGCAGATGAAAGAAGAGCAGCTAAAGCCAGAAGATCCCTGGACTAAAGAGGAAACCATGGAGCTCCCCATCAGTGAGCAGGAGGAGCAGCTGCTCCTCAAGCAGGAGGAAGGAGACGTAGAAGAGAAACCATTTCCGTGTCTGACGTGTGGAGAAAGCTTTCTAAAGAAAACCCATCTCATGGCTCATGCTAGAACTCACACAGGTCAGACGATTCATGAATGTCTGACCTGTGGGAAAAGCTTCACTCAGAAATGTAATCTGGATAAACACATAAGAACTCACACAGGTGAGAAGCCGTTCTCCTGTGCTGTTTGCGGAAAGAGTTTTACTCAGAAAGGTCATTTGACGTCTCACATGACGAGTCACTCAGATGAAAGACCGTTTTCCTGTAAGACTTGTGGTAAAATGTTCAAAAGAAGAAATTTAGTAAATGAGCACATGAGAACTCACACAGGTGAGAAACCTTTTGGATGTCTGTCCTGTGGAAAAAGCTTCACTCGGAAATTTGTTCTAGCTAAACACATCAGAACTCACGCAGGCCAGAAGCCGTTCTCCTGTACAGTTTGTGGGAAAAGTTTTACTGAAAGAAGTTTGTTGACTGACCACATGAAAAGTCACACAGGAGAGAAGCTTTTCTCCTGTACGGTATGTGGCAAAGGTTTTTGTCGAAAAGATGATTTGACTAGACACATGACCACTCACTCCGATGAAAGACCTTTTCTTTGTGAGACCTGCGGAAAAATGTTCAAAAGAAAAGATTTAGTGAAGGAACATATGAAAACTCACACAGGCGAGAAAATGTATGAATGTCTGTGCTGTGAAAAAAGCTTCTCTGATAAACGCACGCTTAATAAACACGTTAGAATTCACACAGGTGAGAGGCCCTTCTCCTGTACACTTTGTGGAAAAAGTTTTTCCCTAAAAAGTAGGTTGACTGACCACATGAGGATTCATACAGGTGAGAAACCTTTCGAATGTCTGTCCTGTGGAAAAGGTTTCACCTTTAAATCTGATCTTAATAGACACATCAGAATTCACACAGGTGAGAGGCCGTTCACCTGTACGACATGCGGCAAAAGTTTTACTCAGAAACGTGACTTGAACAGACACATGGGAATTCATGCGAGGAACGCTTTTCATCCATAAAACTCCTAAAAAGATTAATAACAGAAGAAGTCACAGCAGTGAGGCGCCACCGGCATGAACAGGAGAAACCCTTTCAATGTTTAAATGGTGAAAAAATGCCTCCACCTCTTTCCATCAGAAAATCACAGGTTAAATCCTTTTTATAGCAAGTTTGAAGGAAACCATTCATTAACAGCAATAATCTACTGTTTACATGGAAAGTAGAACAGATCAGGTCTAAAACCGTAAACAAATATTAGACTTCGATTTATTTGTCCCTTTGTTTACACACGTGTAAAACAAAAAGAAATTTCCTTTAACACAGCTCTCTGGACAATTTCTTTTAAGTGCAGCTTTGAAAAATAGTTTAAAAAAAATAAAAACAGTCATATAAATATATGACTAAATTTACATTTCTGACATATATTTTTTATATATATAAATATAATAAAATTATATATATATATAAAAATGTTTTTAAATATTTATATATATAAATATAATAAAATAAGCGGTTCTACATAACATTGATCAGTCTGATGGCGGTGGGGAAGAAGCTGCTGCAGAGCTGAAACAGACGGTTAAGGTCAATCTTCCATCCATGAGACGGAGGAGCTGCTCTCTTCCATCTGAGTAATATTAACCTGTAACTAATCCCGCTGCGCTGTTTTTGGTTTAGTTGGAGTGAAAACTGTTAATAAGGCCGTTAGATCACTTTGATCAATATTCATCTTCCATATAAACTAAACAGTTCAAACTGCTTTAACTTGATAAAAAGCCTTTGGATTAATGAAGCATTAAAGAAGTCTGACACTCAGTGTCATTTTTTAAGTGTATTTTTCCTGATCGTTTTGTTCCTGATTCTGTAGATGTTTTATTAAGCAGTTTAGATTAAAGGAAACTAGAGTCGGTTTATTACAACAGTTGGGTGTTTTTTCTGCATTGGATGTTTTCCATTAATCTGTGAATTTCTAGATTAAAGAACATAAATAAAAACCTGATGGACTGAAAGATGAACTTCTTTTTGTGGTTTCATGCTACAGATGATCTTATTCGATGTATTTTCCTAGAATCTTCAGACAACCTAAAGCTGTAATAAGATGTTTAATAGTATTAAAATCCAGAGAATAAAGGAGCGTGTCTTCAGACAGGTCTTATTTCTGGTCAATATTTGATCATTGTAATCAGTTCAGATTTAGTTGACATGTTGGTGTTTAGAAAGAAAGCTGGAGCTCATGCTGGGACCAGTAAAACCAGGATGAACCTCACTGGTTTGGCTGCGTTCCTTCTCTATCTGGAGCTTCAAGCTTCTGGAAATCAAGGCTCCCATTTATAGACACATTTTATAAGCTGGAGTGGCGGCCTAGTGGTTAGAGCATAGAGCATGGCATCCTCTGGTTGGGAGTTTGAGCCCCATTTCTACAGACTGCCGCTCTGGGTCCCTGAGCAAGACCCTTTACCCCACACTGCTCCCCCAAGGGATGGATTAAATACAGAGAGGGAATTTCTCCATTATGAGATCAATAAAGTTCAGTTAATAGAAAATAGCCTTTTATTATAAACGCTTACAACTAAAACCTGGTTTGATGAGCAGATTGGCTCCTCAGTGGTTCAGCACTGATGCATCTATTGGCCTGTAGCCTGCTGCTAAAGGAAAGCTCTGTGTCCAGATGGCCGCTCACACTGAGCCTGGTTCTGCTGGAGGTTTCTTCCTGTTCAAAGGGAGTTTTTCCTCTCCACTGTCGCTACAAGCATGCTTAGTGTGAGGGATTGCTGAAGAGTCAATGAGTCGATGCAATCAGCTGGTTTTCCTTAGATAGAAAACTTTGTATCAATCTGACTGGATGATCTGGTTGAACTGGAAAGTGACCTGAGATTCTTGCAGGTAGACCGCGTCCTTGGAGGATGCAGCCCATGATTCTGAAGCGATTATAAGAAGCAGAAGTTGTAAAGAATTAAATTTGGCTGATGTAGTAGTAGGTGTAATATTTGCCATTTTACATGTTCTTAAAAGTCAGAGATAGCATTTATTTAACCATTTATTGTCAGGATGTTAAACACATTAAGGTGACAGTGCTGATAGTGTTCTCTAAGTGCAGCTCAGAGGCATATCTTTCTTTTCTTCATCCAGTCCTTTGAACAGTCCAGATGGCAGCAAGCAGAGGCCCAGCAGAACAAGACAACGCCTTTCTGGTCCGACTACCTTCTTCACTAATTACACTAATTAAATCTAAAATGAGCGACTAATAATGTCTGAGTGTTTATTTCTGCACTGAGAGCATAGTAACAGTGAGGCGACCCTGGAGGAGGTGGCGTTCCATGCATTCCTCCTGCAGGTACGGACCCTCAGCCATCTCTCTCTGCATCTCTGCACCTCAAACATCCCTTTGGTAAATCTGCCCCTCCTGGAGCTGCCTTACTTTCCAGGACAGCATGGGGATTAAGAATTGCCTTCAGTCAGCATGCAGCTGCTGGTATCCTGGGCCAGATCTGTGCAGGCTGTGGGTTCTAGTTGTTTGGGTTCTATGTTTGTGTGTGTATCCAAGTATTAGTTCTACTGTATTTGTTTGTTCCCATATTTCTATGTTTTGTTGCATAGTTTGGTCTGAAAGGCAACACAACGTCTCAATGATATTGTTGAAAGCAACAGTGTTTATAACATTCTTTATTTCATCATTTTAAGCAACAGTTGCTCTATTATTAAAACATCAACTAAACCTGGGTGTGCAGGTGGTGCAGTGGTTGGTGCGCCCCACCCACATCAGAGGCCTTAGTCCTGGATACAGCCGCCCTGGGTACGAATCTGACCTGTGGTCCTTCCCTGCATGGCTCTCATCTCCTTTCCTGTCAGAAAAATGAGCCACTAGTGCTGAAAAAACACAAAACAACGTTTCTGCATCAGGCGACATTTCATAGATCAGCCATGTTCTTCACTGTGATTCAGATGCTTCCATTGAAGAGGCGCCGACAAACTACTTTACCCCCGCAGTTCTTCAAAGCCAATTACTGATCATCATCGTCATCTTCATCATCTTCATCATCATCACCATCATCACCATCATCATCATCATCTTCACTTTGTGTTTAATGGCTCAGATCTTTTCCAGATGCGGGGAATCCACAGTTTCTGCTGTTGAATCTGAGGAAATATAAAAAAGTGCAAAAACTAAGTTCACTATCATCTCATTTTAAGACCTTAACCTACATAAAAATATTGATTTCAAAGCCTAAGAATTGGCCGATGGTGAACCAGAAACTTTTCTGATTTTTAAATACTTTAATTGATTTTGATTCAGTAGTTTTAAAAACATTTTATTGTATTTACTGTTGTTCTTAAAGCTGCAGTATGTAAATAAAAGTTAAGCTTCACTTAATACTGGGAGAAGCAGAGGAGCCAGGATTTCTTTCATAGATCACCTGCCTTATGCTGTGATCACATAATGATCCTTTTATCTAAAAACAATGTTTTCCATAAATATAACATGCTTCAGCTTTAACTTATAAAGTGTCGGGAAGCCTTCCAGGGATTGGTGCTGTGAATTAGCTACAAATGATGTGATGCTGGCATCAGATTCTCCTGATCTGCGTTTCTCGTATAATGAAAATAGATGTATGTATGTGTTATAATAAAAAGAATTATCACTCAGCTTCAACATGGAGATGCAATAGTCACCTGTGAGGCCTCTGGTTTACAGGATGGGGACTGGGCGAACAGGATTAATGGTGTGACGGGTCCATAGTTGTTAGAGTTGGTCCAGTTTCTCCTGAAGAACCTCCAGGAATGGAACCAGACGCATGTGTCCTCTGCCTTTCCCTCAAGTCACTGACAGGTCCATCCAAACTGACTCCTAGTTAAAGTACAAGTGTCTCATTAACATGGACTTTGGTCCTATGAAAGCACTAAATCATTACTGAAGTTGCTTTTAGAGACTTGATTTTCAATAGTTAAAGAAGCATTTATATGAAAGCAAATTTAAAATGAACATCAGGCAGACACTGGTGTATAAGATAAACCCAGAAGTAAGGGTGTGTCTATAGATCAGAATAAATGTTTAATAGATGCATCATTAATTCATAATAACTTCAACAAATTAAATTATGTGATAAAAACCTTTGTTTCTGAGGGAAGGACCCAGCTTTCAATACATTGGTTGGATCTGGCTCCTGCAGGTTCATCTGTGCTGATTTTAAGGAACTGCGCCGCGCTGCCATCAGTCCAGCGGCGCATCAGAAAAACTCCCAACTCAGAAATACACTGCATAGATCTGAGCGATAATCCCAGGATCATTGTGGGACTTTCCACATCAGCCACATGATTTTTCTGTAGAACCCATCGATGCAGCCACTAATTGCATTTCCATTGGGTTTTAATTTGTCTTCTCCATCAACAGGCCGCATCTCATTGGGTCCCACTGAATGATCTGCAGACAAACCTTCGTCTTTTAGTCTCTCATTAGTTGCAGCACATTCCTTCTACTGACGATAAGAGAATACTTCTGTTTCAGGCACGTTGCTCCGTAACTGATCCCTTAAGTTCATCAGAAATAGCTGAATGCACGGTAGTGGCTGGTGTTTACTTTGTCCTCCTGATCAGGGCTGCACTTTGTAATCTTCTAAGATTCACTGAAATATTGTGTTTGGCAGCAAGGAAATATTATATTACTTTATAGCTGTGGCCGTCTGTGGAATCCTTCAGGATAAGATCATCTGCAGGTGTGTTTGCAGGATCGGAGGGGAAGGAAGGAGACACTGGATATTTACTGAATGATGAACAAACAGTACAGAGTCAGTAACATAGATGACATCAGCAACTTTCAGAATAAAACATTCCGCCATCTTGGCCAGTCTTTAAAATCTGAATATTTCTGCCACATGAGCCACGATAGG